ATCACTTATTTGAGAAGTGGGGCAGCTATTAACACAGGTAACTGGACCATGTTGCCTTTGGTCAACCTTTGAGCCTACATCCTTGAATAGGACGGAAGGCAAAGGCTCCATTCCAACCCCAATGATCATTCCAGAGAGCTGAGTATTTTCCTTACCTGTTCCCTGTGATCAGTCCAACGCAGCAGGAAGGTCACAACGGGATCAAGTTGTCCATGCAGTTTGGATGGTAGAATTTAAGAGGTTGATGGTCCATTTACACTGGAGCCCAAGCCCAGTGAACTCTTCTTATTTGGGGGAGCAAAGATCCTGAGGAGAACAAAAAGCAGCTTTTACACAGCAAATCACCTTTCAGCAGCTGGAAAGTGATTTGGTTTTTGTCAAGCACAACTAAGCAGCTGCTTGGGGTAGCCTGAGAAATGCATCCTGACAGCCACTCCATCCTTGCAGAGTTCCCATGCTTTGTTTTCTGGTTGTGTGAGGTCTGTGAGGGTGCCAGACAGCTCACACTCCTGCTGCACTGTGCCTCAGCCTGTTAGCTAGTGGGTGGATCAGGTTCCCAGATAAAGAGGAGTCCTCTCAAAAGAATTAGGAAAGCCCAGGGCATCCTAGATCACTGTCGAAGGTTTAGGGCCAGGACTGAAATCCATGTGTTTTATTCACTATTTTACTGCAGTTTGGTCATGTAAAACTCTTGGGGACCTTGTGAAATCTTTGCTGTTTTTTGATATCTGCTTTTTTTTTTGTAATAATAATAAAGACCAGACAATAAATTGTCACTGAGTATTTACTCCAGTGTCTGACATGACTTCATGTTTCAGCAGGCTGCTCTTCCAGGCTGGACAATTGGAAAACAAGCCCTGAATCCCTCTCTTCTTCATAGGGTTCCTTTCTGGCTGTTACCTGTACCTGGATGTGGTGGTGAGACATGCACAGCACATCTGGGATGATTTTAGTGAGACATTTACCCAACAAGGAGTATTCTAAACCAGGAGTGCTAGGGGTGTCCTTGCATGTGGTTAAACTGCAGCCAGAGAGCAGGATCCTCACAACCCTGTGAGATGCTTTCTCCAGAGCAAAAGAAGGAACAGGGTTGTGTGGAGCCAAACTGACTTCACAGGTGGCCTTGGGTTTTCCTCTCTGCTCCAAGAGACTGAACATTTACTTGTTGGGTTTAATAATGATTTAAGGACAGATAGATACACAGTCCTGGGCTTGTCCTGTGGCTGGGCTGGCTGTGCCTACAGCATCACTAATGGGACATGTACTCAGCTTGAGCTTCCCAAGGGCCTGAGCATGCAGAATGCTGGTGGTCCTGTCCCACCCACCTGGAGTGCCAAGGGGTGCAGCACCTCATGTCCTCAGGGCCTTAATGCACACAGGAACCAGCATGGTTACCCCTAAACCATTCAGTGCCTCCCTAATTTCCTTCCTAGAATGCTTTTCCTTGCCTGACTCCTCCAGAAGAACCCAGACACAACCCCAGGAGCACTGGGAACACCAAGTGGAAAACCCAGCCCTGCTGCAGAGGCCCAGGAGGTACCCAGGGTTCACCCATACCTCCATCCAGTGAGGGCTCCATCCTTACAGCTCTCTCAGGGTCTGTGGTTGGCTTCTCTGCTTCCTTCCACTCATCCAAATTTGGTCAATCCTCATTTAAAAAAAGAAAAGTAATTAAAAGCTGTCATCTCAGAGAAGTGAGAACTATTTGCCAAAGCAATTGATGCCAAAGCACCTCTAGGTGGCATTCAATACATGAAGGGAACAAAAACAATGATCTTTAAGTTCTCTGGATCCTCTTGGGTGAGGCTGTGATGGATTTGGGAACATTTACAGACTGTATGGATCTGCATCTGCATTCAGGGATGTGCTAAAACACACGTGATGATGTGGGGATAGTGCAGGATTCACAGGAAGGCACCTCTGCTGGTAATGAGTGACAGGAGGGTAAAAAGAAAATTCAGATTTAAAATACAATTTACCTCTTTCCTCCAAATCCTGCCTTGCTTGTAATGGTGGATCATGGGAACACCACGAGAGGGGGTGAGCTTCCTACTAGGAGAAAGAAGCCTTCAATGGAAAACTGTCAGGTCAGAGCTGCTGGAAGGGAGACAGGGTTTGCCAAGCTCTGTTGCCATCAGGTTTGGCTGGAGTGTGTGGTAACAGCACCTTATCACAGAATCACAGAGTTGGAAGGGAGCCACGAGGATCATCGAGTCCAACTCCTGTCCCTGCACAGGACATCCCTGAGAATCACACCCTGTGCTGAGAGCATTGGCCAAACACCTCTGGAGCTCTGTCAGCCTTGGGGCTGTGACACTGCCCTGGGAGCTGTTCAGTGCCCAAACACCTCTGGGGGAAGAGCCTTGTCCTGATATCCAACCTACACCTCCCCTGACACAACTTCAGGCCATTCCCTCGGGTCCTGTCCCTTGTCCCAGGGAGCAGAGGTCAGAGCTGTCCCTGCACTGCCCCTCGGGAGGAAGATGTACACACCAATGAGGTCTGTCCTCAGTCTCCTCCAGGATGAACAGACCAAGTGCCCTCAGCTGCTCCTCATGTGGCTTCCTCTCAAGGCTCATCACCATCTTCATTACCCTCCTTTGGACATTCTCTAGTAGCTTTATACCTTTCTTGTATTGTAGTGCCCCAAACTGCACACAATATTCAAGGTTTGGCTGCCCCAGCACAGAGCAGAGCAGGACAATCCCCTCCCTCTCCCTCTGGCCATGCTGTGCCTAATGCCCCCCAGGACACAGCTGACCCTCCTGCCTGCCAGGGCACACTGTTAAGTCACATCACACTATTGAGTCATCAGTCACATCCTACTTTTTGCAACAGCTGGAGACACTGCTGTCCTCCTGCTGCTGGAGCTGCAGCCCCTGGGCTCTGCAGCATCTGCCCCTTGGCCAGAGTCCCCACGGGCTCCTGCCTCCCTCCCACAGGCTGGGAAAAGAGCCAAAAATCCTCATGTCCTGTGCAGAGACCTCCAACCTTCCTTCCTGGAAAGCAGCTGGACACACTCCATCTCCTCCAGCCCTGCAAATCTCCTCCCCAAAAGGTCAATGCTCTCAGTCTTCCCTCATGCACGATGGTTTTTTCAGTGCCTGAATCAGTCTTTTTCTATTCTCCTCTCCAGAGATGATGATAAACTCCTGCATATTGTTGCTGTACAAACTCAAACCCAAGTGCTGCACCCCAGCAAGATTTGGGGCATTTCTATGTATTTTTTGCCCTCCTCTTGGTGACCTGAGTTCACTGGACTCCAAGAATCTCCCACAGGAGATGTCACTATCACTGTTACTCACATCCTCTTGAATGTTATTGTGGAAGAAACCAGTTTGCCTACTAAGTCAGCTTGGTCAGAGGAAGGGGAAGGAGAGACTCACTCTTGCTGTGTTTATCACAGCTTTGAAATCACTTGGATATTACTTCACAAAGACCAGAGCAGAAGGACAGCGCTGTGAGCATTTCACAAGCTCCCAGCTTTCAGATCTCACCTTTCTGTGAAACACAAGTTAAAAAAAACCCCAATATTTGTCACAGGGATGATCTCTCATCCTCTTCCATCTCCCCTTGTACCAGTTTTGGGGTAAATCTGACCCAGCAGGGCAACAATTCAGATAACTAAACAAGCAGAAAATTATCCCTGCAATAAGGTGAAGCTGTTCCTGCTGCATGGGGTCTCCCATTCCTCTCAGGAGTGAGAAAAGGCACCTTCCTATGTTGAGGACACCAGAACTCAGACTCAGGAGTCTACTCAGCTTCCATCCTGTTGCAGTTATGTAACGTGCTGAGGAAGTTTCAGTAAAGGCATGAGGGCTGAGCCTTGCTGACACATTTTAAGCTCTTACAAAATACACATCATATTGCTGGTAGATGTGGCAGAGGCAAAGTGCTTTCAAAACTTACTTAAGTGAAGCACCTAGCTCCAAACCTCTGAGCCAGAAGCAGGTCAGACCCCTGCTGTCCACAGCAACACAGTGGGGAATGGGAAGGACCAAAGGTTTCCCAGGTGGTGCCTTGGGCTTTACTTTACCTTCCCTCGTGGGCAGGGGAGCCCCAGCCCAGCCATACCTGCCAGGAGATTCCTGGAGCATTCAGCAATGACCTCTACCAAGGACTGAGTTTCAGAGGGTGCTAGTGGCTCAGCTGAACAGAACCACAGAATCAATCAGGTTGGAAAAGAGCTCTGAGATCATCAAGTCCAACCTATGATCTAACACCACCATGTCAACTAGACCGTGACACTAAGTGCCACGTCCAGTCTCTCCTCAAACACCTCCAGGGATGGTGACGCCACAGCCTCCCTGGGCAGCACATTCCAGTGTCTAACCAGCCTTTCTGGGAAGAAATTCTTCCTAATGTCCAACCTAAACCTCTGCTGGAGCAGCTTGAAGCTATGTCCTTTGTCCTGTTACTAGCTGCCTGGGAGAAGGGATTGAATCTCACCTGGCTACAGCCTCCTGTCAGGGGGTTGTAGAGGGTGATAAGGTCATCCCTGAGCCTTCTTTTCTCCAGGCTAAATAACCCCAGTTCCCTCAGCCTCTCCTCATAGGACTTGAGGAACAGAGCTGGGGAAGGGGCTGGAACACTTCTCTGGACATGTTCCAGCCCCTCAATGAGGACATGAGACATCCAGTGAGACACCCAGGACTGGACACAGGACTCGCTGGCCCTGTAGCTCTGCAACTCAAAATTTGACCTGATCAGCCACCCAAGCTGACAAAGTTCATGGAAACCCTGGAGAAGCAAAAGCCGAGGAGGCAAGGAGCAGCTGAGGACAGAGAGGACCTGGCACAGGCTCATGGAGGCAGCTCTGCCCCACTTCCCCATCCTGGAGCTGTGATGCGAGTGAAGCTACTTCCTGCCAGGTTTGCGACACGGGCAGGGGGAAGGCAGAAGTAGAGGCAGAAGTAGAGGCAGAGAGGCTGAGCAGCCCCACAAGGAAGGACGAGCCCCACAACACAGCTGGGAATCCCACATCCTGCTCCTGGCACACCATGTCCCTGGTGGAGACGATCCGGCTGTGGCAAGGAGGAGTGTGTGCAGCAGACAAGAAGGAGTGGAGTGCAGCCCTGGATGCCTTCACAGCCGTCCAGAACCCTCCTGCCAAAATCTGCTTTAACATAGGCTGCATCCACCTCGTTCTGGGGAAGCTGGTGGAGGCAGAGGAGGTAAGGCACAGCCCCTTGGGGAGCTAATCCTGCTCACCTGCTGGACCTGCCAGGCACATGGATGCAGTGGGGAAGGGAGGAATTAAGGGTCATGGTCCAAGGGAAGGATTCAGGGC